GCCGGGCACGGTTTCAGGGCTTGCTTTTTGGGGGTGTTTCTCTTGTATCCCGGCAGGATTACCCCGTCCTGGCAAACCTACGCTCCAGCAACTTGGGGAAGTGGCTTTTGTTAGAAGCGATTTAATTTTAAATATAATTTGCTCTGATTTTAAAAGCTAAGGAAAAGAGGCGTATCGCGGAGTTGTAGGAAAATTTAGGACCCTCTGGAGGTCATTTAGCCGAACCTAAAGCAATATTTATTGCATGAGGAATCCCTGGGGGTGGGGTTAAGTGGGAAAGGATAGAGCTGCTTCAGGCGTAGAGCTTCGTTACCTTGATTTAATCTGAAATGTTGTCTTACACCTGAAAGTCGCTATTTCTGTAGCAGGGAGTGTTTGTGAAACGAGCACAGCTAATGGGCTTTTTAACAAAACACACTTTCTACTCTATTCTACTCTAGTCTATTCTACTCTATTGTATTCTATTTTCCTGCTACAGATAGGTTAACTACTTATACCTTGTGAAGTAACGTCACAAAATAAGTTGTTGTGCAAGGAGTATTTCTGCTTTTGTATTATGTTTGTGTGAGTTACTTTCATCAGTAAACAACCAGGTTTTGTTCTGATTTGTTGTGTTTTTTTAATATCAAGAATCAAAGAAATCTAAGCACAGTATACTGAATATGCTGTTAAAAATAAATTCTGGAGATGTGGAAGAAGGGAGGGAAGGAAAAGGAGGGCGAGGGAGGGCAATGGCACACAGTGTTTTGTCGTTGTACTTACAGAAATGATTGCCAGGAGCTTGTGTGGGGGGAGCAGTGCAGGGAAGAGAAGATTTAAGAAGTGAATCCCAGGTTGAAAAGTGACTGAAACTGTGCAGCTGGCATTCTGCTGCCTTGGAAGAAGTTGAGTCTTTAGAAGTTGGCAGAATTGAAGGATAAAAGAAGAAATATGTCATGGCGTGTCAATTCTGTGCAAGGATTTCCTCCTCCATGTTCCTTTTGAAGAGGATAGCTTTCCTCGATAGCACCCTTTTTTGGTTTGTTTTTTTCTTCTTCCCCCCATAGAAACTTTGTGTATATTACAAGACAACTTACTTTTTCTCTGTGTGTGCCATTGTGTGTAAATGTGTGTGTAAATGAGTGAACTCTATGGGCTGCAGCACTATTCTGGGTGGGGTGATGGAGGGGCACCGCTCAGCACTGGGGGACACATAGCCCTACGTGTGAGCACAAAACAGACGGGACTGCACGTGAAGTAAGAGTTTTGTGAATAAGTGGAGAAAGGTTAAGGGAACTTAATGAGCTGGTGAAATAATTATACGTCCTTTGTCCAAAAGTTTATGCTCCAGGCAAAAAAACAAACAAACAAACAAAAAAAAACAACACCAACACCCCCTCCCCCCCAAACCACCCCAAGCTGTAATATTCAGGCTTTCTTGCTTGCTGCCCTAAGAAAAGCCTGTCTTTACAGGCTACTGGATTTCTTCTGCTCCCCCTGGAAAGTCTTGGGAACCAGGCAATGGCAGAAGTGTTCAGAGGTGGGCAGGCAAAGATTTAATGGGGAAAGTGTGTTGATTTGAAGTGTTGTCCAGTTCCACCCTTTGCAACCAGGATACCAGTCCCAGGCAATACTCCCATTTGAATAAACTAATTTAATATTAGAAAATAAAGTAAGAGAAATGTAGCACCTTTAATGTATTTGAAGTTTTTTTTGAACTGAAATAATCATCTAAAAAGCAGATTTTTCATTGGAAAGAAGACTTGTTATTATGTGAACCTCTCAGAGATTTAAAGAACATGCCACTTCTACATTCTTTTTTGGGGAAAACAAGCATCCGGAATAACCAGCTACCTCAAGTCTGTGCCAGTACCAAAACGTATTTTTTAAATCTTACCCTTAATGTCTGAAACTACTGTTGAAATTATTGTTATTAGTGGCACTTATAAAACAAGTGGAGATGATGGACATTCATATCCTGCTCACCTGGCCATTCTAGCTAAGTCTACCTTCACCTCTTTCTTGTTTTATTTGGTTTGAGTATTTGAAAAAAGTGTGACCACAGGTAATTGCCTGGGAGGTTATAAAATCTGTATTAATCTGTGGTCTTTCAGAACGGTATATAAACTGTCAGTTACAGCTCACAGGCAGCAACTTTGGGCAGGGGGATAAATTAGGTGACTTCTCAGGGTTTCCTGCAGCCCTAGGACCGTACAGATAAAGCACCACCCTCTCCAGCACCAATCTCTCTCCCAGGTGAGTTACAACACATCCCCACGCAGATATGCTTGCGTGGTGTCTGGTGTACTCACAATTCAGTGATGCTCATTTCTATCGTTTACAGAGACCCTGACAATATGTTGTTATTAGAAATATAATGCCAGATAAAATAACAACGTGGGAAGGGGGATATTCCGGGCGCTGGGTTGTGAGGGACCCAGAGACAGGGACTTCCAGTCTCTGGGTGGGCAGAGACGGAGAAAGGAGCTGCCCCCACGCCAGGCACGGCGTCACTGCAGCTTTATGCAATCAGTAACACATTCAGTCCTCTAAGGCACTGAGCTGTTCCCCATCACATACACCAAACAGGGGAAACAAAGCCAGTTACACATGTACCACCTTCTCAAAAACGCCATGTTCATACCACGGGTAGCATCCATATGCAAGTGTACGTTACATGGCACACGTTTAATTGTTGAATTGTAAGACACAACAAAGCAAGAGGTCAGATCCAGATTCTCAACTTGCAACGCATGCGCTGGAGGTGAGCGGAGTTCTCGGAAAGCTGGAGGCGGCAGGCACTGGAGTGTGATTTCCTGAGCAGGTCGTAGCATTCGAGAGCTGCCCCACAAAGTTTCTTGCTGGCTGCTTATCGCTGAGAACAGACTAATGCCAGCTGACCCCTGGTGAAAGCTGAGTAACTTCCACACTGCTTATTGCTGGGAGATGTGAGTGTCTGTGTCTGCCCCGAGCTCGTGAAGGAGCCTCCTGCTGTGGTGCTAATGAAGAGCAGGCAGAAACTACCGGACAAACCCTACAACACCTGGGGCCACAGACTTCCTTGGACCACGCAGCTCTCAGACCTTGCAGTTAATAAGTGTGCTAGGTATCATATCGTGGTCAGAGATTTTATTCAAATCCCTGACATGGGTTCCTTGTAAAAATGGCCTTTGCTGTACAGCGTTGCTAAGCATGGTTTGTGCTTCCAGGTGCACCGATGCCATCCCAAGCACTCGAGACAGATCAGGATTTGCAGCTGTGGAAAGAGGTAAGTATCACCTGTACACTGCCGTATGCTATACTCCACTCCTTCTGTGTCCATCCTTCCTACAGTCACACCTCGCTCTCCAGAGTTCAGGTGCTTCTTCCAGTCATGCTTCTCCTGTAGCTCTCCTATCCCGACGTCAGTGAAGAAGATTTTCTTCAGTGTGTGAGTTACAGATTTTCTGAACAGTTGCTCCAGGAGTATGTTGAGGTTGGACGTTGAGATGTCACTGGGGAAAAAGACTGTCTTGGCTCAATGGAGAAGCTACGTTTGATAGCAGTTGTAATTTAACTGCCTATGACCAGGGCAGCCACTGTGCCTGGAAAAAACAATGTCCCATCAGGTATTGTTATAGTCTGTACACAATACACAGGAATTGTTTCAACTCATCCAGTCTTACCTCTTGCTTCTTCTGTTCTGCACACAGGGCTGGGACACTGTATTTAATCCTACCTGAGCCTGTCAATTTACTAGATAAAGGATAATGTACCGTGTCAATTAGCCCCTCTAACGTTTTGCTACTGCTCGCTATCGTAACTTCCACTCTCATTTTTGAAATGAACATTTGTTTCGGCTCTAGGTTGTGACACGTGTGTTAACATGGGCTCTTCCCCGCCCGTTTGGAACAGATGGAGCGTCAGGGCATCACACACAGAGTTTCGCTTGCAACTTGCGTGCCCTGGCGTTGCTGTAACCTTCAAATATTCTGTTGACATTTAATTCTGTAGCTTCTGATAATGTTAGAAAGCAAGTGACTCACCAGGGGTACAGATGCAGAGTGTAAATTTCTTCCTATTGAGACCATTACAGGAGACGCTTCCCTTACTGTCGGCTCCCCTTAGCTTATTTTGGAAGTGTTGACTCAAATGCCAACATATTTCTAGACTGGCACTTGAACAAGCCCTGGAGAAATTTATCACCTGAGAAAAAGTGTTTTTTTGGGGAAGTAAGGCCCTGATAGCCTTAAGGAGTTAATGAAAATGAGTTATTTACATTCTGGATTAAAAAATGTTATTTTATACATTTCTGCATTTATTGCTAAGATTTGCTTGTTGTAACATAGGATTTGTCCCTATGCCAACTGTAGGCAAAGTTTCCATTGATTCGAATGAACAAAAAAGTATGCATAAGATAATAAATTCCATCTCAAATTATGTAACATAAGTGATATAAAACTTACTGTTATAACAGGAAAAATGCAGGACTGGAGAGGGTCTAAGGAAAGAGAATTAGATGCATATGTATATACCCTGAATCAACCTGATTACAGAATCATACTAGTTCACCAAAGTTTCTTGGAGTGAAAAGAATCAGTTCTTCCCTTGTTTGTTACTTTATTACTGGGTCATTCAGGAAAAGCCCTGCCTCTAAATTAATCCAGTATATTCCAGGAATGACTCTGAGTTTATAAATACGGGAACTCCATAAATAAGTGTTGTGTTCCTTTACTTGTCTCTCGCATCCTTTTTTTTCTTTATGTTATTTAACCAACCCCAAACAACTCACAAGCTCCCACCTTCAGGCCGCATTTCTCAGATAGGAGAGCAAATCACTGAGAATTAAAATTTTATTTCTATTTTCTGAGAAGGAATTAACAGGAACTGTGGCTTTTTCTCAGCCCTTGCTTTGTCCATGCAGGTTTTAGCTGAGAGAGACCTTGCCTTGCACTCTGTCCAACACAAAGCAGTCTCTGGCTTGTCCTGTTACTGAATTACGGTAGTTCTCTAATAGTCACCTCCAACTACAAAACAAGCAAATAAACTAATAAAAAACAAGAACAAAAAATCCCTCAACAAGAAGAAACAGTAAATTTTAAACATAGGCTTCCAAAATGACTTCAGCTTAGTTTACTTCCTTCACTGCTGATTTCTCTGTTTATGTTTCCTTACTCTGAAAGTAGTGAAACTGAATTAATATACCCAGAGACAAACACAAGACAAAGGGAAAAGAGAGCGGGGAGGATGTGTTACCAACAAAAACTATTTGAAAGGGAAATTCTGTGAGTTATTAGCTTTCCCACTATCTCTGCTAATGCTTTCTCGTAGATTGTCTCTAGAGAAATGAATCATCTTTGTCTCAAAGTACTCAAATATGCATTGTTTGTTTATTGCTTTTTTCATTTAACGTTTTCATTGCTAAAGAGTGCTGTTTAGGGCTTTTTACCTATAATAAAATCATAAGACCCATTATATTTTCCACTCTTTATTTAAAAAGAAATATTTTTAATGCAGTCTATGAACTAGATGATTGGCAAAACTTTCTGGCATCTAGATAACATTATTAAATATTCAGCAGAAGAAATGGTGCATACCAATGCAGGTTGCTATTGGTAAAATTTTAAAGTTATATAATGAAAAGTTAAGCCTCTTTTTTTTTCATTATTATTAAACTGTGCAACTTCAGTTGGAGTACCAGAGATTTTTTTCTTTTCCTTATAGAATATTTTGAGATTTCATCACTGGTAATATTATTTCCATGAATTTGAATGTCCTTTATTCCATTTCTTCTCCCTGCCTGATTAATAACTCTGCTAAAAATGATTCAGTAGTATGGGATTCTTTCATCTTGGAAAAGAGACAGCAGAAAGAGGATGTTATTAATTGTCTACACAAAGTCATGAACAGTAAGGAGAGGATGGATAGGAATCACTTATTCATTACTTCTTCCAAGACAAGCTTGTGATAGCACTGAATGGAGATAGCTTTGAAAATACTGATCAAGACAAACAGAAGTGGTATTTCACACAGTGTTTAAGAAAACCTTGTCACAGGACGTTGTGGGTGCTAAAAGGTTCAGAGAGAGAGTGGTCAAATTCACAGCACAGAAATCCACAGAGTTTTTATTACAAAGGACCTATTTCTGACTCAAAATGCTTGCACCACAGATTCCTGATGGTTGGAGAGCATGGGTTTTACTCAACCACTGGTCTTCTCTTAGGCTCTTCCCTGGCTGTCAACATTTGGCCTTTTTTGGGGACAAGATGTAGAGCTAAATGGACATTTGTTTTGACCCAGATGAAATGGGAGCTGAGACTTCTTGGTTTGGTTTGTGAATTATTTGTTTTGGTTTTGTACCTGTGTGTCACATTCCATTCCGTGCTGACGTGTCTAAGTTCATCAACAATGAACTCTTCCACAGTGCTCTTTGAGTTTAGATCCCTTGAAATATATTTAACAAATCTCTTACTAGTACTGTGATTTGGGAACCACCTCCTTTAAACATAACCTTCTAACGCTCCTCATTTGCCAAAGAAATCAGTGCAAACCTTGGATACTGGCTGGTTGGTGACTCAACGCAAATTTCCTGGCATGCATAAGGTGTGCTGGCACATATAATCACTCAAGAGATGCGTATGTCATACACCCACAGGGATGCTGGAATCCAGTTGGAAAAGGTGTGTTTGAGGACTGCTCATTGAATCCCTTGCTTTAGTTTTGTCATTTTCTTTGCAGTTTTGTATAATCCAAAGATATCGCAGAAGAGATTTAAGTTCATAGTCCATACCCCAGATGCTTAAAATCATGATTTAAAATATGACTTAGTCTGAGAAAGTAACAAATAAGAGGCAAATGGGGCAGATAAGAGAATAAAGGACATAGATATGTATGTATTTGTTCAAATCAAGCAAGTATAATTTTCTTTCATATGGTTAAGGGCTTTTTTTCCCCCTTGAATGCAAAATATTTCATGAATATACCTATAAGGATTCCTAAAAGTGGACAAGCTTACCATGCCTTTAGTTGCACTGAACTGTTTCTGAAAATACACGTATTTCACTTGTTTTTACTAATCTGACTTCTTAAAAAAGGACTGTGTGAACTTTTACAGATAGACGATGCATGTTCTGCTTACCTGTCCACAGATCCTCAGACCCTGGTGAGTCAGACAGAGGTTACTTTTCATTTTGATATTATTTGCTATATGCAGCAGGATTGGAAGTGTGATACCTGCGTTCATGTTTTCTTTGCGTTAGGCATCCACTGCGCTGGAAGAACTTTGTTTTCTGGTCATGGGATTTCTCCAGAAACCACAGGTAACACACATGAAAGACTACTTGGCATTTCTGAAGCCTGATCCCTCAGTGTGCCAGTGTCTCCAGTGAATTCTGAGGACCCAGTATCTGAAGCATCATTCAGTGCTGGAAGTAATACTGTCAGTTCTTACTCTGAAATGCTATGTGTCCTAGCCTAACACCTATTAAAGTTAATTGTAGAGACTCCAATTTTTGGAAAATAGACTCCAGGTTGGATACAAGGTTTCAGGTGTTTTAGTGTTCTAGATTAGAAAAACGATGAGCTCTCAATGGAGAAAGAAATTTACTTAGGAGAATCTAGGGATATATAAAGGATATATACTTATTGACCCTTTATACTGGAGAGTAATCAATGCTCTCTACAGGGTTTGAAAAGAGTAATTACATAGATAAGCAAAGACATGTCAAGGAAGGACAATATTCCAACCCAGTACTGAAAAGTTTATGATGTAATCAAAATTGCCAATTTTTCTTTTTTCTTTTTTTTTCACAAATAAAAGTTTCTCTGCTGATTATTATTTCTACAGGTTTTAGATGAAAAAGACAACACCAAAAGGGTAAGATTTCCATGTATGTTTTATGATCACATTAAAATTGTCAAGAAAATCATAACACTCTTGCCCTCTTTTGTAGTAAAACCCCACTTTTAATTTTTTTGAACAGTTCTTATTTCATTATTCTAAGACTCATGACTCAGGCAACTCAGACATCATGGTAAGTGGCAAAGCACCTCCTTGTGAGTACATGTGCGCTTGTACCTAAAACCAAGGTAATGGTCCTTTCTGCAATAGTCTCTCCAACTGTATAGCAAGCTCAGGACTGACAGTTTCATGTTTAAGACATAGATTGTGTTTTAGTAACATGGGAGAGAATTATCAATACTGTCCAGCTGTGCAAAAAACTGACCAATCAATCATGGAATCTCAGCTGCATCTTAATCTTGTCATTACAACATTTAAGAATAAGATTGTTTCTGGTACTGGAACATAACATATGCAGTGGAATAATGCAAATTTATAGAAGTTGAGAACATGACCGTAAATATTAAGAACTCTTAATGTTTTTTAATTAATTATTAATTAAATTGTATTTGTTTACTTGTGCATGTCATAAATATGTATCAGGCAAAATAGTATTTAAGTCTCATTCAGACTTTGGATGATGTTTCAAATGAAAAATATTATTTTAAAAATAGCCTAGTATTGTTGCTATAAAAATATTCTCATAAACCAACAAAGAAACTGCATGTTATCCATTCTTGCTTTTAAAGTGCAGCCATAATCTGTTCTTTCTGTGCATCTATGTTGTTTTTCTGTGCAGCATAGGATTTTGAGAAAGTTAAACAGATTTGTGTTTTCTCATTTCTTAACAATCATTCTTATATGATAATGTCCATTTTTGCCTTGTTCTTTACAATTATTCAGAAATATGTGGTATATTTCCTAGAAAGTGATATTGCTGATACTGTGGCCAGTGTTTTCATGATAGAGCTGCTCTGGAGGTTTTAGTGGTAACCAAGGCACAGTGAAATGAGCTGCTGTTCCTGCTTAAGAGGTTGCTGCATCCGCCTTTGTCCCCATCCTGAATACCTTTGCCCCGGCCTGCCCCCAGGGATTACTGTTTTCTCACTTCTGGTTTAGCTGTTCTGTGGACTGTTTTCTAGCCCAGTTTTCAGAGATACTAACTTAGGTGAGCTCCATCATTCTTTGGCTTTATTAACCTCTCTCCACTGACTGCAAGACAGAGCCCAAGTAGCCAGCTGGGTAGCCTTCTAACTGCTCCACTCACATCAGACTCTACTTTTTTAGATATTACGACACCACATTGCCTACCTTAGTAGACAGTGCAAAATTGGCGCCGAATAGGCAGGTTCATTCCACCTACTAAGTACATTATCACTTTGGTAACTCTAGTTATTCCATACATTATATTTCTCTTTGTTGTATTACTTTGGTAAGAAGTATTGCATCAAAAATGCATTATTTTTTTCAAATTATGTTTACATGAGTTGAAGGTTTAAGTTGGTTGGTGGAACATGGGTTTTTCTACTTTATTTCTCACTATGAACCACAAGCCCACATGGCTGTGTTTTGCCACTTACACTGCACACAATGCCAGTGTCCTTAACCAGGCTGTCTGCAAGCATAAAGTCTTGTTGAACACAAAGAATTTCAGGATTGGAGCTTATCTCTTAGGCAGAGTGACCGGTGCCAGGTTGCAAATTTCAGTTGAGAGTGGATGCCTCCTGCAAATTGTTTTCTAGCAAAAAAAAAAAAAAAAAAAAAAAAATCTTGCTGTAATTTAAGTTACTTCAAAGTAAAATGCACTTTTCAGTACAACAGAGACTGAAGCTGCTAACTTCCATAGCAGATAATTGTAGTAAGGGTAGCGTATGGAAATGTTCTCTGTACCACTCACAGAGGTTGATCAAAGTCTGAATAATTGCAATTGCCTGGGCAAGAAGCCTGTAAACAGTTCTGAGCTGTCAATGAGTAAAGGGGAGGACGCATAGCTTTTCCCTCCATTGCTGCCTGAGTCACATTCGTAGTGTAAATGTAAGTGTTGGTACCTGCTATCAAGTCAGAGTGTTCAAAAAAACAAGTTTCTCAACTAACATCTTTAGTCCTTTTTTGGTGCGTGTTTGGTCCATAAGCCAATACTGCGGGAAGAGACTTTTTGCATCATGAAGTCCAAACTTTATTGTTGCTCATGTGTCTGTGTTCATGTCCTCTCAGTCGTCTGTCCTGCACCCTTTGCTGCAACTCGTTCCCCAGCTCAATGAGAGAAGACTGAAGAGATACAAAGTGGACGTATGTAAACTTAAACTCTGCATGCATGCATGCGTGAATCACACCTTGTGATTCAGTAGCTCTTCTAAAAATGTCCTTGTAGACCTTTCTGCTCATAACACTTTTATTTTCAAGATTTAATATCACACTAGTGTATTTTCATTAGAAATTTGAGGGTTTTTTCTATACTTAGATTAGCGAAAAATAATCCTGCTGATATTTAACATTTAAAACCAAAAAACGCTGAATTAATATACGCATAACACAGAACAATGGTAGAGCCTATGTATTTATTCTTTTATAAAAAGAAAAATACTTTCAAATTTATCTGTACCTTTCTATTGCAGTTAAATTATATTTTCTAGTGGGGTTCTTTTTTTCCCCTGTCTGGAATTCAAACCATATCTACTCCTTCAATGTATATTATTTATGACTTATAACACTAAGAATTTCCAAGGAATTCATAGACAATTTTACTGTTTAACTTAAGGTGCAGATAAGTTCTCTGTGGAATTAATTTCCCATAGAAATGTAGTGTGTTTTGGAACAAAAATTTCACATCAAGGGAAATAGCCCCACTGTTTCCAAAATATCGTAACATTTGGGTGTATTATTTCCTGCAAATACAATTACAAATTTAAAAAATCAAAAAGCTAATGTCCATCTCCTTCACGGAGCTATGGAGAGAAGAGAAAAATGCAGGCTAATATATAAGAATCTTTCTCTAGGAGAGTACTGAAGATTCCTGTATAATAACATATACCAAAATCTAGGACGCAGCTTCTTCCTGTTTTACAATGACTTCTTAGATTGATATGATTCCTTATATTCACTGATACACAAGTTAAAATGGGTATACATAGATGATATTTAGAACTTGGACAGTGGCATCCCCACAAGTAGGACTCTTCCTTTATTAATCCAGATAAAAGCTGTGTTGTTAATTCCCACATTTTCAATGAACTCTTAATCCTATGATTATGTATGTCAGCTTTCATCTGGCCACAGTTGGGGTTGGTAATATTATCTACCCCTATCTTCGGATCACTGTATAATCTCATCTGTATGCCCTGAATCACTAGGAACAGGATGGAAAGCACAACAGAAAACATTACTGTGTCACTATTTAAATCCCATCTCAATATTATACACACGTATTAAAGTACAGGCAAAGAGGTAACAAGCAAGAGAAGGCATCACAGAAGTCTATGCAATTGTGACTTGCATGGGGAAGGGAAAAAGGGAATGATTCCTTACTGAGCAATGAGGAGACTGGTTTTAACTCTATGCTTATTTTTCCTACGCTTCTACTGCATTGTAAATGTGGAGGAACTATGTAAAAACTAATGGCACATTTTTCTTATCCAGTGACAGAACATGGCCACAGATAAGAACGTAAAGAGTTGGTACATCTACTCATGGACTAAAATTGTTGTGAAAATTTTAATCCATTACACATCTGAAAGGAAAATACAGGGAAAAAAATTACCTTCTGTGGTGACATTGACGTGAACTGTATTTATGCTATTGGACCTATACACAGGCAAAGAATGTTCTTGGAATTGTTCTTTATGCTTTTAAATGAACATATATGTCAAATAAGACAAAGAATGGGAAGGAAAGCACAACTGCCAGAACACAAAATTGCTGTAAGTGAAAACAAACTGACTTTTAAATCCAATATAGTCCTTTGCTAGAATACTTTAGCATCCTGAATTTACTTCCACTGAGGTTGATGCCATAATTAGTGGAAATAGAATACATTAATTACCAAACAATAACTTAAAATTCATAGCATATTTGGCATATTCCAACATATTTCAGCCTCCCTGTGGCAGTTTTATTTTTAGTGGGCTCAAAAAAGAAACTATAAGGTTATTTTGCCAAGTAATAATAATATCAAATGTTACAAAGTCTATCAGTCAGGTCATGTGTCTTTCTATATATATTTAAAGAGAGTCGTAATACATATAACAGCTTACAAATGAAATTTAATAAATTGCTTCTGTTTAAGAGCTGTGAAGCCATCATGTGACATAAAATTTAGACTTTTTTTAACATCGAAGTCCATACTGTACAAATCCTTGGGAAAAAATTAAAAAGTATCCTAGCTATCTGATATAAAGTGCAAACATACAATGATACAAAAAGTCATTTTTTTAAGATAGTGTTTGGAAATATTTCTTCCAAAGGAAATTTAAAAAAAAAAACTGACAAAAAATTCTATAGTGTTTGGGAATGAGCCCAGAGCAGGCAGATATAACTTTGTGGCAAAAGGCAAACATTTTATCAAGTGTCTTTTTGTAAGGTACCTTATTTTTATCAGATTTTTAAAAACGGAAATGAATGGATGATGATGAGTATTATGTGTTTCCATAGTCATCTTTTTAAGTAGCTAATTTTTAAAAGATCTGTCTCCTATTATTTGTATTATCATACTCTTAACGAGTGGTACATGCAAATAGCAACAGTTAGAATTCCAACCATTCTGCACTGTGATAAGTAGTAGTCTTTAATCTGCAGTTGTGATGTTACGCATTGTGAAGTAACGACATGGCCAACGCTTACAGAATATAGCCATTTTAAAATATTCATATAAATCTAAGGAAACAATAAAACAGCTCTAAATTTAATTGCATTTTATAGAAAGAAACTTTTTTTTATTTCCTGTTCTCAATACCTGCTGTGAATACCAGTCAGCTTGTTAAAGGTGTTATTTACTCCTGTACAGTGCATAAACACCAGACATTTACAAAGTAGTAGCATCTTCTGGAATCAATTTCCTTTGCAGACTCTTTTGGTTTTTCTATTTTTGCATGCACCTTATTTATTTTCATGTCATAATAAATCTTTGGAATTCACCCATATTATGCTTATCATATTTGTTTATATGGCAGACTTCAGTATATTTTAGTGTAAGCATTTAAAATCCTCTCTAAATATTATTCCTGAGGGCCATACCAGTTTATAAGAAAATTAAGAAAACACTGAAATAACCTGCCATCACTAATAAAGGTACTGCAATTACTCCCTGAATGTGTGAAAGGTATAAATCTATCTTACCAAGAGACTCTACCGGATGGGCTGATGGGGAAATGGCAGAGGTAAACTTTAAAGCCAGCAGAGGATCGGAGCAACCCTGCCTAAGATATGCAGAGGAGGTCCAATGCCCCATGGAGCAGGAAGCCCCCCTGCTCCTGTGGGCTACCCACCTTTGGGTGGGCTATCTGACTGGTGTCAGAGAAGGTGCCTCAGGAAGGGTTAGCTTGCTGCCGATTCTTCTCCCTCTGCCCAAATACTGGAAAGAAAGCCAGAACCTGCTGTAAACAAACACACCCACCTCTCTCCCCGACCAGACAAGGAATTGAAAAGGTAGATGGGTGAAGGAGGAAACATGCTCTATTAAATCTACTTTTTTCTTCCCTGTTTGGACTGACACCAGGTTTTGTCATGAATTTGATCCCTCTTGAGCGCCATCTTGGCTGATATAATATGATCTTAGAAGAATCAAGAGCACTTTGTTGGCAAGTCAATCTAAGAGATTGAACAAGATAACTTCTAGAGGACAGGCATTAAACTCTAAACAAACACACTTTTTCATGAATACATACATTTCCGTATACAAATACATACATGCAGGTTTGTGAATATACATGCTTGTGCACTACAGCATGTGTTAGTTATTTTGTAACATCTCCAAACCCTTGGAAGTTTTAGAAGGCACGTGTTAACAGTGAAGACAGATTTTGGCTTCAGTGGTTTTCTAATACCAACCTTCTGACATGAAACCAAACAAGGGAACTGTCATCTTCTTTAAGAAGTGTCTGGCTGTAAGCAGAGAATGACATAATGACATAAACAAAATTTTATATTAGTAATTGTACTCGTGATTCCCTTTATGTTCTAGATCAGTTTCCTTAACTTAAAACACTACCTGTTTTGTTTCTGGTTCTATTTTTGTTGACACTTTGAATAGAAACATAATGAAATATAAATATCATGACACCCTGATGGCAAGGTACAAGACTCCATTAACGGACAAATTTTTAGACTTTTTAAATATTAAAAACTATAGTATTGAATGGATTATGGATCTGAGATGAGTTATTTCAAACCAGGTAATGCTACAATGAGGTGAACAATATAACATCCCGATGTTTTACATACAGCAACAAAACTGGGTATCATGGTATACCTGAAGAACTGAAGTAACAATGACAAGCAAGACTCACAAATGATGTGTAGTTTAAACCCTACTTCCTTTGAAAGCTTCCCTTCATTGAAGCTAGTCCTGTGTTTGGAAATTATGGGAGCCATCCCATTTTAAACAGTTGATAGAGCATTAGAATAGAGCATGAAGTGATGTCTTTCTGTGACAAGTCAGGTTATGATCATTACCCAAGAGATCACATGACCCCAGTTTTTGATTGGAAAACCCCATCATTTTTAAATAAATTCCATTTAAATTTTATGTTCTGGTAAATATGAGATTTGAACTACTTTGTTTTTCAATTGGCCTGTCTCCCTGCCTGCAGGACAGATACCTCACTCATATATCTAATATTAACAAAAGCAATGAAAATACTGTGATTAAGCTTATGTGTTGTCTAATCATGAAGGACTCGTTAAAGCAATTGGATACCTCATGCTTTGTACTTGTTACATTTAAATGGAATTTCTGTTTTCTTCATCGTTCATTCCCCCTGCCTTGCTGTATGGAGCAGTAGAGAGTTGTTTCTCAGTGTGTGCAGCACGGGCAGGATAGAGTATCATAAGCACTGGTCTTTTCTCCGGGAGTTAACCTGAGAGGGGTGATCATGATACACCTCTGGGAACAGACTGGGATCTCATTCCTGGGAGGAGCCCAAGTATTTCTGATATTGAAGCTTTGCATTGTTGTCCTTCTGTGAGGTGCAAAGATCAACTCTGTTTTGTCTGTAGAGACTCGGCTATCATGAAGACACTCTGGTTGGGTCTGGGTAATGAAACCTGGAAAGTCGAAGGCAAAGGCTGCTCATCATTACTAGTACCATTCTAAAGCAGTCTGAACTGAGTCAAAGCTTCAGGTGGAATTTGGCCCTCATTCATATATTTTCTGCTATTTCTACATGACAACATGAACTTCTTGTTACTGACATGGAGAAATATACATAAAGCATTCCTTAAAGGGCAAGACTGTATAGTAGGACTGAAGAAATACTTCTAATATGTACGTAAACAACCTCTCTATATGTATTAATTCACAAGAGTAGATATGATCTAAAATACTTTTTTTCAGGAAGAACTTCAAGGACCTGGAGGGATTCAAAGCAGAGGCTACTTTTTCTACAGGGTATGGCTTGTTCGACTTTTTTTCTTTTTGTTTCATGACAAGAGTTACAAAACAGAAAGTAGAGAGACCAGTGAATTACAGTAAGAATTACTGTGACTGAGGATGCTTTTTTCAATAAGAGCATCCCACTATGTAGGACTACTCAAGATCTGCTCCAGCCATTTTCTTGGATTAAAATAAAGGCATAGTAGGAAGTTCTTGTACATCTCTTAATGTTTGTGTATCCATGATACCATGCTATGCCTTAATAAGTCATTGGTTATTACGTATATAATTCTCAGAGAAAGTTCTGGAAAATATGGCATCTTGGACAATCCTTTTAAAGCATTGCTCAACACAGTACATTTGCATGTGGCATAAATACAACGCCATGCTTACAGGCTGTATCAAAACAGCTACTGGGCCTGACCATCCTGTTTTCCTTGTATTCTGGCCAGTAGGGTTAGAAACCAGATATAGAAATTCTCATAAGAATGAAACTACTCCATTCATCTTTAATGCAATACTCCATTTTAAAAAACTGAGTGAGATAAAGATGGCAAGTCAGACTTAATAATAACTCCCTCAATTTTGGTTAATATTTTTTTTCTATTTAAATAAGAAAGTGGGTAACAGCTTTAAATAAGAAAATGTCTAATAGCTTTAAATAAGAAAGTGGCTGTGGCTAGACTTGATGATCTGAAAGGTCTTTTCCAACCTAAATTATTCTATGATTCTAATGAAAAGACAGCAAATTTGTACAGTTACATTTCTTATGTATCAGGCTTGGATCTTTAGAGTTCTAACAACAGGCCAAAGTTAAGGGCAATATTAACATCAGTGCATTCATGATGCCAAAGTAAAAATCAAATCCCTATTAAGCTCAATAAGAAATTTTCTATCAGCTTTAGTAGAAATTGTATCAAGTCCCTCAGTAGTGCAAAATATTTCTGAAAATGACCAAGTGAAAAGAGAAAAACTCTTTGCTTACGTTAAAGAACACAGTCTAAAAGTAAAAACATTGAGAGTGACTTACATATTTGTTTGTTAATGTAACGAGCGAGTGGTAGGGCCACTTAAAGAGTCATCACCAAAGATATCAGAAAGTGAATGATTTTAATAAAGATTTGTAAAACGTACAACTTAACAGAATTTGTTGGCAAGATTCACTCTATTACTCACTTAACAAAAAGGTGTACAAGGAGAAACCAAGTTACAATTAGAATGGAATGATTTGCTTGTGGATCAAATTTGTTTAATGTGTCTTATATGTATATTGAGGAGAGAAAGTAGGGGAGACCCTCCTGTGAGTCATGAGGTTCAGAGTGGACCAAAATCCACCCATAGTCCCAGACTTGGTCAGTGGTTTATGACTAAGGTTAGGTAAGGAAAGTAAAGGAATGCCCTCCCGTTGAGTCACGAGGTTCAGAGTGGACCCCCTTGCTTTCTAGACTCCTTCTCAGGGAGGAGTCTAGGTGTGGCTGAATCCACTCCTAGTCCCAGACTTGGTCAATGCTTTATAACTAAAGGAATAGGGTGTTGGGGATTCTGGTGTAGTGCCTGGTGTAACTTTAAAATGACAGCAAACAAACTCACTAACACTATTAAGATAAATCACAATATCAAATCATGTGTAACTTAGTAACATAATTAACCTAAAACTTACGAAGATTAATGATATTGAGACAAATCACAGTATTAAATCACAGCAACATACTAAGATCAGACACTTGAAGAGATATAAAGAAAAAAGATAAATATGTACAAAAGTATCTTTAAATGCCCCCCTCAAATTCGCTGGAATACTCCTATCGAATGCTTTTCATCGCTCAATGGGTGATCAGCTGAGCCTCTGAGTTGATCACAAACTTGAGGGTTCATGGGCTCTGAGAGGTGTCCCACTCAGAGGGAGATGCTGGTCACAGCCTGCTGCGGTCCAGGAGAGATCAAATGGTCTCACTTGGGACCACTGTTTATAGGACTCGGAGATGATCGACTTTAGGCATCAGTATATTTCCATCCTTGCCACAAATCATTTGCTGGCAATTGCTAGAATTCTTGACATCCCAGTGATGCTGGTACTCATCCACCCGAATCCCGGCTAGATAAGATGTGCTCCAAGGCTGTCTGGGGATGGTGAGTTATTCTCATCTATGGAAGAGCACTTTCTACAGTCAAGGGGCCCTTGACCACCAAACTCTCTGCTCCGAGGCCAAGGCTTATCGAGCTGGGGCGGGGATGCACCACCACAGTTAATTGCAACAAACATTCATAATGCAACAATAACAATAATCTGAAAGCACATTTTAAGAAAATGCAAAAAGAATGAGGGATAATGGTCTCTCTGACTTCTTGTGGCTTTTTCCCCCTTATAAAATCGTACAAGATGGGCATAATTAATTCTTCAATCTATATGTAGTAAAAGTCACTGTATAATTCTCCTCCAGAGGTGAATATACATTAAACAATAACTGGGCTCAGGTTTATCTTTCATGATCATGTTGACAAAGCTGAGAAGTTTACTGATTTCTATGCATACCAAGTTGAGCGGGGCTTTGTTACTGAAACCATTCAGTTTTGTAGAATGCTTATTGAATATTTGTCTTTCAGCCACGCAATGGAAGGAGATCAGTGGATTTTCGCTAAGGAGGTATTTATTTAATACATTTAATCACAATCTACAATAAATGAGTTTATTTTTATACAAATAGGCCACAATATTTATGCTGAGAAGTAGTCTCAGAAAGCCTTTAACTGTGTAGTTAAGTTTGGCTAACTAAGCCAAACTTCTCCCAGATGTGTTAAATTCATGTTATCTTCAGATGAAGTGGAGAGAAGTTGTAGGTACTCAGCTCCTAGAGCAGAGAACACAGAGGTGTTTCTGGCAGCAACAATTGGAAAATATCCCAGATTTGTAAACAGTTTGGAACGTTACCAATGATGATAAGTTTGTGTCAGGAAGAACTGATTCAACTACTTGTCAAACACATACTGAGAAGTAAACTGACATCCTGGGGGTAATCCCCTAATCTTACACAGTAAAAAAACCTCACACTGAAACTAAGTAGAGACTTCAGGATTTAATTTCAAAGCATTCAACTATTTGGAGAGATATAAATGTCAATGTGATAATGCTGTCTTTTCTAATATATTTTATACCTCTATTGTATTTTAAGTATTTAGTGTTATATCATGCCAACAGCTAATGCTTTTTCTTATCTTTTCAGGATTTTAGATTCCTGACCTAAAATTAATGCTGCAGGAATGCTGAGTACATGGACATACTGTTTTCCTTACAAAAATTATTCGTTACTAATGTACGATTAAACTCACTAGAATGTAAATGTTCTTAAGCTAGACTCTTAAGAATTCAAAAGTTTCTTTACTTCCTTGATTATATTAAAAGCATATTAAGATTATTTGTTTCCCAGTGTTATGGTGTTTACAACTGCGTGTAATGCAACTGTAAAAAAGTCAGTGTGTGCATGCAACAGACATTGCCTCTAACAACAGTGTTAAGTACATTTATTTTCCCTTATAAATAAAGGCACTCAGTTAGAGACTTATTTTAATGAGAATGTTTGCAGTGTAGACTATTGCATTTTGTAAGTCTTGTAAGTGACTTGTACAGTCCTTAAAGTCACAGCTTATCTAGGCAGGCCAAGCAAAAGGTGCGGTTTGGTTTTTAGGATGATGTTCTCCACCCCTGTATTTCCCTCACTGTAGCCTGTGGACTTCTGGCAGTCTGCAGGGTCCAGATAAGTGCTCTCCAGGTGCCCTATGGAATGACATTGATGATAAAGGAGTTTGGCAGTCCTCAAAAAGCCTTAAGGTTAATAGTGTTTCCTTGGCTGAAAAAAAATTAGAATCTCTATTCCCTTAACAAAAGGAAATTGAACAAGTTGCGTGTTTTGAAGAAATATCTTTATTTTAATCCAATTGAAATATAATGGCATCATTTTTTTTTAGCTATTAAGAACACAGATGCAGTATGGTTCTCATTCAGAAGACTTAATTGCTTCCAGAATTAGGATTCACTTGAAAACTCAACTGGTTTTGACATAGACTTAGAGAAACTCTACTCAAAAGAATGAGTTAGCATTGCAATCTTCCTAGCTTCTCTCTCTGAGTATGTTTTCACACCAGGGTTGTGTAAAAATATGATGTTGAGGCTGTAATTGTGTTGAAAGTAACTAATCATTCAGTGTAGAAGCAGATTATTGTTTTTAACATTGTACTGCCTGGTCATGGTTTAAACTGACCTCAGCTTTACTACTCCTGATTCTGCAAGCTTGGATGAGTAGTGGAACTTCAGAAGGTAGCTGGGAAGATGGATGGCCTTAGAGGTAGACACCAGCTTAAGAAATCCTTTTCCTCTTTTTACCTACTCATTTTCGCTCTGCAGTTTGCTGTGTCTCCAGTCAAACTGGTGCAATTATCTGTGAACTGAGGATCCAGTTTTATACAACCCCTGGTCAGAACGAATGTGTGGCCTTTTGCCACAAAATGCTTATTATATTGTATTGTATTGTATTAAATTAGGTTATTTGTTTAAGTTTAACCCCCCCACTGCCTTGTACGGCACGACTGACAGCTTCCACTCAGGTAGGCGGTGGGATGAGGAGACCGTGGCTGAAGGGCAAGGCAGAAGAGTAGGGCTGCCTCCTCCAGTCACACCCACCACCAAACCACAGCCTAAGTGGCCCAGACTGAGAGTGCCCTGAGTTTGATCTTTTGTTTGTTTTGATTTTGTTTATTTTTGTTTGTTTTCTGGGTTTTTTCCTCTGAAACGTTTTTAAAGAGGACCAGTTATGTCAGCAGTAGCCAACGATCGATGGGGCAAATGGCGGGGGCCCACCGCCGCCTCACTGCCCACCTGCCTCATGCCGTCACCTTTGGAACGGTGAGGGCAGGGTGGGCCTGCCCCAATGGCCGCTGCCATCCTGCCACCACCGGGTCAGAGTAGTGGCCTCCCTGAGGAGAGGCAGTGCCCGTGGGGAACCATGTAGGTGGACGCAGAGGGTCACCCCAGGCCTGAGCCATCCTGGTGGGGCAGCAGCTGAGACTGGGAGTTGGGGTGGGGACACCAAGGAAATGGGGGAGGCTGCCGGTGGGCAGCGGCTGGGGCCGAGAGAGGCGCTGGGTGCTGCGAGAGCCCTGTCGTGCTGCCTGAGGCAGCCACTGCGCCTGCTGGGTGAGGAGAGAAGAAAGGCAAGGTGGCAAGGAGGGCAGGAGCAAAGCCAGCCACCAGCGATGGCTTCCTCGGCGCGGCCAAGCCTGCCGCAGGGCCTGGAGGGCAGAGGGAGATGGCGTCGCTATCCCGGTCCTGCATCGCCTTCCCAGCCCCTGCGGGGGTCCCAAGAAATGGCAAATGGGAGAGCAGTTTATGTGGGTTTTCTTGTGAGAATACACCAGGAAACTCTGAGTTTCTTATGATTAAAAATTAATTGTCATTACTGTCCTGTGAGAATAACAAGCTACTACACTTTGATAGCTGGACGATCATAGGTATTATTTTAAAACCATCGCTGAGAATTTGTTTTGTGTCATTCACCACAAACAACAAAAATACAAAACTGCAAATTAATTTACCAGACATGTTATTTACACTTAAGGATCGAAGTTATCCAGCCTGTGGGTTCCCAAACTTGATATGTGCATCCACCCTGGCAAAGCTGGTGGTAGCTAACACTATCATTGGCAGCAGTGAGAAGTGTTAGGAGAAGTTTTTTCGCTTGGGATTGTGACCTGCTAGTAGAGTAATACTGCCTCAGTAGTCTAGCTTCATACTCCGAAATCTACTTACAATGGATCACTTTTGCCATTGCTTGGCTCCTTTGCACTCTTACCATCAAATATCTTCTGAAGTTTTTGACACACATTTTCATTTATTTCATCTGTGCAACCTTGAACTAATCACTTTTTAACACCAACTTTTTAAACATTGATTTAACTCAATTTGTTAAAAAATTGTTAAAGGTTTGCTAGCTTCTGATCTTCTTTTCCTTGAGACTGGAGTTCAGATTTATGAGACACGCCTGCTTCTGTTATGCTTACTGTGATCTAGGATTCTTGATCCAATTTTTTTTTGCTTTTACATTTTCTAGATGTAACAGCATCTAGAAAATATCCAATGTACAACTGGTTACACAAACCTATAGAATGTTACAAACATTAAATAGAAATTGTATAAAATACACCATAAGTAAAACACTATGGAAAGATTTCATGTAGGACCTAAATTTATAGAAATGTAAAATGTCCTCTTAGTTCTGTGGATTTTTTTTGATACTTTGGCTGTACCTAAGGCAAAATTCTGTTTTGGTGAAGTGTTGAAAACTTGCAGTAAGACTGACTGTAAGGTTTTTTTATATAAGTAAACCCTGAGGAATTACACTATAGCAAAATAGTTATTTCGATTTTTCCTATTCCAAACTCATCAGTGACCATCTAATTCATCGGATTATATATGGAGCTCCTCTTTTATTTTTTCCAATTATTTCAATTACTTTTCAATCAAAGAAGGAGAAACATCACTTATTCTTAACTCTTTATCTGTGTTTTCATATGTGGATAAAGTAAATTTTGCTAGCATATTTGAAAGACTTAGTGATTAAATAACCATGTTCACAGAGGTGGAAAGTTATGGAGAATAATTTTCAAAATTCTGTAACTAACTAGCTACAATGGAGTTGCCATTCCTAGTCCAAAATCTGGATATTGGAGCTTTGCAGAAGGAATCAAAGTACTCAGGTATGAAATCTCTTTATCTTAGCAATAAGGCACTAGATGTTTGCAAAGCCAGAATGCCCCGCTAGTAGTGAATATTGGTAGCAGCACCCTTGCCTGCAGACTGCTGAGCCCCTGCGGTAGAACTGTTGCAGGAAATGCTGTAACGATTGCCATGTCCTTTCCGCTCCAAACCCTGCAAAGTCTCGCTTCCTCACTCCTGCCGGAAGAAACTGGCAGTTTCTTACCAGAAACTGATAAGAGCCTTTCTTACCAGAAACTTAAGAGTCTTCTTGCAAACCCAATGCTTAACTTTCTTGTGAGCAGTAGCATGATTCTGTTTGCTCTCTTTGTGGATTTACCAAGTATGTTTTCATCTAAAATGCACATCAAAATGCCAAGCAATTCTTTTACCATTCTTTTACCTTAGTGAAATTCCTTGAGGCATTTGATCTTCATTAGAATTTTTTTCATTATACTCATGCTAAATTCTGTACAAGAGCCTTGTTGAATAAAAATGAAGCAGCTGTCAGCTGGAAAGGCCAATATAGTACTCATGGGCATGGTAGTAATCCAGTGGAAATCCTGCATGTTTGGCATATCCTTATTATATGCCAAAGTGAAAAAGGGCTGGTTTTGTTTTATAAAAGGGCACACAAGATTGTTTTGTTGCATAATATTAAAACAGGATCCAGATGAAGATACTGAATGGAATGATATACCGAGACATTTTGGAATTCTTCCTTCCAAAAGAAAAATCGAAACATGAAGTTGAAGAAATGATTTTATACTTGCAGAAAGAAGCAGAAGGCAAGTAAAATTAAAAATACATGCCATTAGCATAACAAAATTTGAAAAGTGGAGGTATTTTTGATAATGCTTTTTGTAACTTAAACATTGTACAATAATTATATTTTTATTTTAATTATGTTCATTTTGTTATTTTTAAAAGGATTCTGAATTAAACATATAACATCATTAGTGGAAAACATTATGGCATATAACATGTATGCATAACTAATTTTCATAATTTCATAAGGGAACGCGTCATTATAAGCAAGATTCACATTCTTAAAAATTGGTAGTAATCTGCTCCTGCATTTCTGTATTTTTCTGTATAGTTATAGTTAAATAAATTTGTTTTTTTCTCTCTTTTACCCAGAGTTATGCCAAAGTTAACTAATTTCTGAAATTAGTACATCTTTTTCTTTCATCAGTTCCATGTCTGTGTAATACTTTTCATACATTTAAAATGTTTGTAGACACTGTGGAGAACAAAAGATAACTAATTTTTTGTTTGTTGTTTGTAGTGAAACCATATGAAAGAACGAATCTTGAAGAATTGAAGGAAGCTAAAGATGACTTTGATGAGGCTGATAGCAAAGCTATTGAAATGTATAGGTATAGTAAGAGATTTCCATCCAGATTAGCATACACTATTGTACATATACATGCACGTGCTTCTGAAAAATAAACTCAGAATCTTTCGAATCGTAATGTCTGCTGACTGACACAACTGCCTTTTTTTGTCTTTTGCTTCCTTGCCAGCAGATAGACAGCACTCACATTACTGTCCTACCTCTTCCTAATTGCCAGTTGCAGAGAGAAGCAGTTTACACCATATTTTACATGGATGTTTTGTTAGAACAAAGTTATCCCCCTTTTAAAATACTTAATTCAGCCTGAAAGCTGGATATTTAATAGAAAAAGAATAGAAGGGGCCACAGTGGAAACCAATGTTACTCATTCTCAGTTCAACTGAAGATATATCATGCTACTGTATATTGAGAGGTGGTGTATGTTCGAAGTGTTGTATAAAATCATAGACTCATAGAATAGTTTGGGTTGGAGGGGACCTTTAAAGGTCATCTAGTCCAACCCCCCTGCAATGAGCAGGGACATCTTCAACTAGGTCAGGTTGCTCAGAGCCCCGTCCAACCTGACCTGGAATGTTTCCAGGGATGGGGCATCTACCACCTCTCGGGGCAACCTGTGCCCGTGTTTCACCACCCTCATTGGGAAAAATTTCTTCTTATGTCTAGTCTGAATCTACTCTCTTTTATTTTAAAGCCATTACCGCTTGTCCTGTTGCTACAGGCCCTGCTAGAAAGTCTGTCCCCATCTTTCTTATAAGCTCCCTTGAAGTACTGGAAGGCTGCAATAAGGTCTCCACGGAGCCTTCTCTTCTCCAGGCTGAACAACGCCAACTCTCTCAGCCTGTCCTCATAGGAGAGGTGTTCCATCCCTCTGATCATTTTTGTGGCCTCCTCTGGACCCGCTCCAACAGGTCCATGTCTTTCCTGTGCTGAGGGCTCCAGAGCTAGACGCAGTACTACAGGTGGGGTCTCACCAGACCAGAGTAGAGGGGCACCTCCCTTGACCTGACCTCGATAAATATTGTATACTGAACATTTATCTAAGTTACACAAGTAGGGTTCATTCTCTGTTTGCCTGATTAAGCAGTACCCCTCACTCTGCCACTCTGAAAATACTCTCTGCCAGTCTTTAGGAGTTAGAGAAATGATGATAAATGTTCAAAGAAAGGAGAAGTTCTGTGTCCCATTTTCTCTCTTCTCTTCTGGACAGCATTTTCTGTATATTTCAAGCCAGCAGAAAAAATAGTCAGTTGGTTGCAGATATCCCTTTTCTACCATGTTGCACAAGAACATTAGGAAAAACAGGGTCTAAACATACATGGCTCCAACTTTGTGAAGGATACCGAGTTTGTGCACGTGGAGTGCACGCCACTAGACGGACCCCTAATACACAGCTATTGTGTTTTGCTTCTTACCCAATTTTAATAGCTTTTCTACTTCTTACCTAATAAAAATATTAATTTGAAGTTTATGTTGAAGGAGGGGCCAGGGGAGACCTAATCAATGTCTATAAATATCTGAATGGAGGGTATAAAGCAGACAGAACCAGGGTGTTTCCAGCGGTGCCCAGTCACAGGACCAGAGGCAGTGGGCACAAACTGAAACACAGGAGGTTCCCTCTGAACATCAGGAAACACTTTTTTACTGTGAAGGTGACCGAGCACTGGCACAGGTTGCCCAGAGAGGTTGTGGAGTCTCCACCCTCGGAGATGTTCAGAAGCTGTCTGGACACATTTCCTGGGCAGCCTGCTCAAAGCTGACCCTGCTTGAGTGGTGGGACTGAATCAGATGACCTCCAGAGACCCCTTCCAATCTCAGCCATGCCGCGATTGTGTAATTCTGTCATCTACCATATACTGTTCTTGGGCATAACTGTGGCACAACCTTATTCAGCTATTTATAGGAGTACACCAATCACTTCACCTACAATACCATGCAGAGTCAACATGTCTTATGAACTCAGCTTCAGAAAACTTTGGCAGCTTGTATGGATACTTAGTAAGTTTAGCTGTACTGGACTTTCATGTGAATATTTTTGTAGGTATTTTACAAAGTATACTGCTGAGTTCTGCAGAGGTTTATACTATAAGAAAAATGAGACATGCAGTTTACACAGAATAAAAACGCTAATATGATCAAAACATTTCCTCTGTCTAGATTTTACACTACTTTTGCATTGTTAAAATGAGTAAAATAATTCTAGTGCTAACACTGTGTGTCTACTGTTGTATTCTCATAGGAAGATAATAATTGAAATAATTATGTGGAAATTGTAAATCCAAATTATCATGCACTGCTGCTAGAGTATAATAACATTGCATATATATTATTTAATCTTTTTTGAAAAAGCCACTTCTATAGTGGCTTTCAGTTAGTAAAATTAATAGCTGCTTTTAGTTCAACAAATCTCAGTGAGACATTTTCCTTTTCTGTCTTGCAAGTATTTTTATAGATGAAGACTGCCATCTACTGTTTTTACATTCCAATTTTCAGGAACTATTTTAAAATTGGTAAATACTGGTACAAGTACTGGTAGTTCTTCCTCAAACTAATCTCATTTTCAGAATCAGAAAAACAATTAGGACCTGCTTTAATTTTTTCTTGCTTTGTCTGAAATGATAAAACCTTGTGCAACATGTTTGTTACTCAAGTTTCCCAAATCTGATACTGAGGAAGATAAGACTAAATATTTTAATGTTATCTTACTGAAGAAAGATTAGCATAGAAGCTTTTCTAGCTCTGAAATGATGTTAGAAGACCTAAAGCTAAAGGGTTATTCAAAGCATTTTTAAAGTAATTGAGGGAAATGCACTAGATACTATTTTAAAATGCATTTAAACTGTTCCAAATGCTTATTTTTATTGTTACTTTTTAATTAGGCAGCAATGCTTCCAAGAATGGAAATGCCTTCAGAGAACGCAGAAGTCTGGGCAAGTACGAGAAATTCATGGAGAGCAGTATGTAAAGGAAGTTACGAATGCTCCAGAGGATGTTTGGGTTATAATTAATCTTTATTGGTCAAGGTAATGACTTTCTTGTTTAAGATGTTGAATGCTTCAATACAGAAAATTGAACTGGTAATTAAAGAGCAATACCAAGGAAAATTAAATACAATAGACTAATAAAATAGCAGTTGTTTTGAGGCAATGGAATCATAGAGAATGGGACCTTCTTGATGTTAATTCACTTTGTGAGAGTTAATCATTTCACTTTTGTTCAATTATATGAAAGATTTCTTTTGCTGTGTATGCTTATCACTATGTACTGAACCTCACTAAGATTTCTGAATTGCATTGAGAAAGTGGTGTCCACTGTCTGTGCTGAGGAAAGTTCCTTTGCAGATTTTTCTCAGCAGGAGTGTTCGAACAGCATTATTCTACCTTTATTTCCCCTTTGACTAGAACAAATCAAAAGCCCAATAGGGAAAGTTTGTTATGAAAATTGAGGAAAGCTAGGGAATTTCTTAGTTCCTTGAGAAATTCTCTAATGGTAGCAGAAGTTGTGATAGAATCCAGCAGAAATGTCAAAGGATTCACATAATCAGTTCAGCATGTTAGCAACTCTATTAGATGTTTTCCAAAAGCACCGAGAATTAGTATGGAATGTCTAATGCATTTTTTTAAGATTCAGACCAGCTTTCTTTCTTCCTTCTTTTTAATCCTGTTGGGAGGAAGCGTCTTTGATTCTTCTCAGCTGTCAAGAATTGAGTATTTTTCCCATGAGCAATAGGAATCGGTCAATCAAATGGAATTGTTCAAATTACAATAACTTAAATGTACAGATCTGAAGAAAACAGCAGCTTTTCTTGCTTTTCATTGTTTCTGTTTGCTGGAGAACCAATTCTGTACTTTATCATTGCATAAATACGAGTCTATGAGGAAGCTCAACATTTCTTGGAATGATCATGAGCTCTCCAAAGTCTTTAACGGCTAGTAACGAAACTGCCTCACCTGCCTTTGACCACGAGAGGGTACTGCTGGAACTCCTCGACGGTCCACAGGATAAATCAGCTGCTTGAACTTCAGCAAAGATCCTAACTTCTAGAAGGTTAACGGGCTGGAGGGGAACAAAAAACCACCACGTTTCTTTTGTTTTTTTAATGTTTTTTTTTTTTTCACTGAGGTTTATATAGTGATTGTGTTACCAATAGTATCTATGAAAGTAATAAACAGGTCTATGGTGGTAATATGACTATACAAAGGTTTCCCTAACGTTACTTAGATTTTACTAAAAGAATGAAGTAAGTAAATGTTAAACTGAAAGGCAGTTCAAATAAAGTAAAATGTACATTGCAGATTAAAAAATATCATTTAAACTCTATGATAAATGAACAAAATGAGCATTAAATTCTCAGTGGAGAACAAAACTGAGGCACAATTCTTGAAGTGTTCGGTAGCTTTACTGACATTATAGACTATGCTTATTATGTATTTTTAGTTGGACAGCTCTTTAAGTCACAATGATCTTAGAAGCAGCTAAATAAAATCTGTAGTGCAATTCTTATAACAAATTAAAGTAGAAACAAACTATAAGGTACATTTATTCTTCAAAGGCTTTATTTTAATAACTTTAGTTATTTTACAAATTATTTACACCACAAGTGTCATCATACTTTCTTATTCTTTTCTAGCACCCCAATATGTTTACGGGTTAACAAACATCACAGCCTGCTAGCAAGAAATTTCCAGAAGTCAAGTTTCTCAAAGCCGTTGTAAACAGCTGCATTCAGAATTACCATGACAGATGTTTACCCACAATTCTTGTATATAATACTGGTGAAATAAAAGGCAGGTTCATTGGAGTAGCTGAATGTGGAGGAATAGATCTTAAAGTGGAAGGTGTGAGAAATATTTTTAAATAATTCATGCTATAGAAAATTTTATGTTCTTTGTAATCATTACATCTAAAGATCACTGTTTAAAGGTGGAAAAGGTTTTTGATTATTTTTGTAGGAAAAAAGTCTACAAAAACCAAAGAATTAATTTACCAATTCTGTGGTAAGAACATTGGATAACATGGATATTTTGCAATTTGACAGACATTTTACTGAGATAAAGCTGGGTTGTCGCAAGGATGGCGCTTTTTTTTTTGTTGAGATGGAGCTTGGTCTTTTATTACTGCAATTATCAGAATAAATTGTAAACTGTTTCTACAGAGTTCGAATGGGAACTAGCAGAAGTTGGAGCAATAAAAAAACCTGACAGAAGAAAAACCCAAAAAGGACATTATGGATATGATGACACCATCGGTGCGATATAGAAATATTTCTATGTGATATTTCTGCTTATGAAGACATCAATACAAAAAGCAGTGATGTGATGAAATGAGATATTACTTGAGAAAATTTTAATGCAGATCATCTGTTTTAACATAAATTATCTCAACTACAGTTTTTTACTCCTTTGGTAAGCCTGGAACAATTAAAAAAAAAAAAAAAAGGAGTTTTGTTGTTTCACTGGTATATTTTTTTGGGTTTGATATGTGGAAGAAAATTGATGTGGTAAATGAAAGCCATAGTTACCTCAGATATTTGTAGATGTCTGTCATGAACACCAAAAGCCTGGATTCTCCTTTTCACACAAACTCTGCTTAAATGAAACAGGAAGGAGAGGGTATTAACTGGTGGGCCCTAACCTATACTTTCTTCCTCCTTTTATCCAGTGTGGGTACAAGATACTCCTTTAATTCTCAGTTAAATGACTGTAGTAGAACTCCGCCCTGCTAAATATCTTCTCAGTTCCCCCCATTGAAAAAGTGACCCAAAGACAATGATGTGCACAGTGATATCAAATCAGGATTTGGCCCTGAATCCACTGACTAATAGTTCCATTTGTTTGATGGGTGTTCAGGAATTTTCTCCAGTGTCAGGGATAATCTTCCCACTATTTCAGAATACTGACAGTTGAATCGTTGTTCCTTCCTAACAAAAATAAGTCTATCGTTAACAAAATAATTTACATTACAACTGTAGATACACAAAACTACGTGAGTGAATGAAGAGACCATACTCCAGATTCAGCATTTTTATTTGAGTATTAATGTTGTTCTTCCAATGAAACATCATTAAAAAAAAAAACAATCTCAATGTGCTAATGAAGATTTAGCTATATACAGTTGACATGGTTTATAGCATCAGGATGCAGAAAGAAAAATTAAACAGAAACAGTTCACTTAACACTTGGCATATAGATACCTAAGAACAAGAAAATTAACATCAGACTTCTTTTTTCACCCAATAGGATACAGCTGCACTATTAGTAGATACCTGCTGGCAGATACCACTTCTAGAAACTTTTATTTTGCAGATTCAGAAAGATAATTAGTATAGGCGTTTCAGAGATAATGGCTTATCTGCCATTATCTGCCACTTCAAACTAGAAAGCTAACTAGTAGTTTTAAATGTAAATAGGTCATCAGTGACTTCAGATATGATTCCTGTCACATCAGGTGAATATCAGTGTTGGCTGCTCTAAAAGGAGCGCTACCACCTGCTTCCTCTTAGCGGTGAGCCTCCCTCCCGCTACTGCGGCTGCTGCCGTGAAGCACGCAAGCACAACACACCACTGTTCCAAGCGCTAGTTTTGTCACATTGGAAGTGACAGGAATATGTCGCTAGATCTGACAGGAAAGGGCCAAACCTCTCCTTTTGTGACCCTTACTTTGTCCAAGTGATCCTGTGATCATGATTACTGTGGCGGACCGACGCGCGGACTTTGTCTTAAACATTCCTTGGTGTGGATGCCTGCAGAGCAGAGCTACAGCGCAGGCACAGCGGTAAATATCACCTGGACTAGACCGGTTGCGGAGCACAAAGACGAGGTGCAGGCAGTAGTGCATCAACTCAGCTTCGTCTCACCTTGACAGACCCTTATCTATGCGGAGATGGCTTGGCGGGGGGAACTGCACAAACGGCTCAGCCCAGGGAACAATGCATCGTGGTAAGAACCGAAACCGGAATGGAGCCTTAAGTACGGCACTTGAGGGCACCGGACAAGCAACGACCCCCCTGCCCAAGCATGTGAGAAGAACGTGCCACGTGGGCACTAAGAACGTGCTGTTTCCTCAGGCAACCGGAGTGAAAAAGGAGGGACTAAGAAGTATAAAAGGCGGTGCCCACAGTGACTGGGGCAGGAACGGCAAGAATCAAGACGACCAACTGGACGCTGCTGGATCCACGGGTGGTGATATCTTCTTCGTCTCTGCTCTCTCTCTTTCTCCACGTCTCTTTGCCAAACCGTGAAAGACGTGGTTCACGGGACTTGTTGGTCTGGTTAGATTGTTTAGTTTACTATTAAATTGTTAAATTGGTTGGCTGGTGTCGTTTCACCTTAATTCAGTCCAGGGGGATCACGAATCTGGTTGTTGGTCCCAAGGGGAGGGAGGTTGTCCTAAACAGCTCCTTTCAGGCCGTGACAATTACAGCCATCAGGTGTGACAAAGCAGCTGCAAAATCCAAGGGAATCCGCAGGTTAAAAGCAGATGTTTCTGGTTCTGAGTCAGTTACACCATTTGTAGAAAAATGGCCTAGGAATGAATGTTAGTAAACCTTCAAGTCAGCATCTTTGTTAAATCCACTGATTTTACTATTCTGGAGTGATGAGAAATTTAGTTTCAAAATCAGCTTCCTCAAACAGATCCTCCTGTGAATATGCCAGTGAGGATCAAAAAAGAACATTCTGAGCAAATGATTGTTCGATGGCTCTGAAGTATATCATGCACAAGATGGCACTTCTGTAGGAAACTCTGGCTAGTTAATGGAAGTGCACTGGAAATTTCTGTGTTTCTGGCCAAATCTAGTCCCATCATTCAATAATTCACAGAAGATTTGCTGCTCAGAATTTGGAAATCTCTGAAAATTATGTTGGCTCTCATGTAACCTTTGTGAGTGAAACAAAACTATCATTACACACTGGAGCAAACTCATATTGACAATGAGAGCCAGAAAAATAGTATTTCTAGGTGGAGAATAGTTTCATAAAACCACCACACCATTTCTAAGCTTTCTGTCCTCTTCCTTCAGGAGCCTTTAAAATACCTTCAGAAAAGAAGCATTAAAAAAATCACCTTGGATAGGCCATGACCTTGTCAAAAAATGCAAATGCCTGTGATTTCCACAGCTATGTTGCCTGTTTTGCTCTTGTCAAATCCCGAAATGTAAGATGTGCAAGCCATAAAGAGTAATTTGCTACTGCAACACTGCAGTTATGCTCCCATACATGCAAGGTGTGAAGAAAGGCAGCACAACATCTCTACTTTGTTATTCAGAAGAGTTACTACTGGTTACTAAATACCAGCAAAATCAAATTTGTGGCAAATTTGATACACACAGCTTGATGCTATTTTTAGCCTCCTGGTTTCTTGGCCATGTTCTAGTTCTGGTAATTATGCCTTTTTGTTTAAAATATTCCTGCATTTTCTCCTGGATTTTCCATTCCTTCTGTATGCTATTATCTTCACTACATTTCATTGTAGAAGCATTATCCTCTGCATGAGTAATGAAATGATTTGTTTTGTTTATATCACATTTTCCTCAATTGAAAGCTAGAAATAGAGTATTATGAATCAGTAAGCAGAAAAATTAAGTGTTTTTACTAATGTTTTTTAAAATTCTTGCAGTGTAAAAACTGAGCTCATGGTTAGCTCTTTAGCAGCATTACTGCTAAAGAGGTTCCTGTCCTACAATACCTTTGCATAAGACTTTGGTCACAAGGTGAATCAAATGGGGAAACTGATCTACCTGAAAAGTAATCCAGAAAGAAAGATCCATGAGATTTTGCAGCCAAGTTCCTTACTTCATTCCAGACACAAACACTAATTCAGCTTCTATGGATACACATTGGTGATTACGCTTTTACATGTATTGCTGTTGGGGAGATCAATGGAAAAATAAGCATCCTTGTAACCGAGAAAGAAAACTGGGAATATTCACATACTATTAACACTGAGCAATGTTTTACTTTACAGAAAACAGTTCGCTGCTATGTTCTGCTGCATGCAGAACAGGTTTACATCAACATAATCACTGCACATTTAAGCGTATTCCAGTCCTGTAGTAAGCGGTATGGCTGGAATGCGTTACAGTTGTACGTAAAGGCTGCGCAGTATCAGTTAGTCATCTCTCCAATTGATACCTGATGCTGTTTGTATTTATTAGCTGGTCTGTTTCACAACTTTCTCTGCCAAGTCAGTAACATCGGCACACCTTAGAGCTTGTATAAGCTTTACCAACACACAAACACAAGAATGCTAACTTTTATTATCATAGGTAGTCCTGCAAACTCCTACTACAGCTGTGCATTCCTGTCCTGAAATGATACATTTTCTGAACAAGTCTACATCTCATCACTGTGTAGTCTGCCTAATAAAAATACATCAACCCCACACAGGGCACTTCAGTTTATCTAGTTCAGAATTACTCTTTTACCTTGCAGCCACACACACACACACACACACACAAAAAAAAAAAACCCACACACCACACCAAACTGAAAGGATTGGCAAATGAGAAGAATGGACTTAAATTGCTACTTTTCAGCTAAACTTACTTGCTGTGAGCCTTCCATCAGTTTGGCGGTCCAGAAATCTCTCAGACCTCAACAGCCAGGATTAGTACTGTACAATACAAGTTGTACAAACCGTACAATATTAGTACAGTATTTTAAAAGTTACAAGATATTATTAGGTGTTGAGATTTTTAAACACACCTAGGGTGATTTCTTATTTCTAACGCTAAGACTGATTTATAAAACTGGTATTAAAAGCATGGCACACAGGCAAAAGGACTGAGGCGGTCAAGTCTGTTCTCTGCCACTCCGTTAAGTTTTACCAGTTTACGCACACCGATAAAAGAAACCACCGCCAAGACGGGTGGCTTGTACCCCTAAATAACTTGTGGTGGCACTTCTGCTCCCAGAAAGCATCCGAGATGCTGCTGCTTATTCCTCTCTGGGAACGACAGTATGAGCGGGCACCGACTCATACGCTCAGGCACTGCCCGGAACGGGGGCTCTGTACCGGGTTTACTGTTTCGATAGCAAAGTGCCTCCGTTTAGCGGAACCCCG